CCAGCCACAGAACTCCAACTCCATCCCCAACCCTCTGGCCCCCAGCCCTCAACCCCCTCGGCCCCCAGCCCCCCTCTCACCAGCACAGAACCAAAACCTTCAGTCGATATCTGCCCTTGGGGTTGGGGGGGAAGGCGCTGATTGCATGGTTCACCTAGGGCGCCAGTTGCTGGCAGCTAGTCTAGGGCCGCCCCGATTATTTCATTTTCCTTTACTCTCCCCTCCCACCTTTTCTCAACATAGCCCTGCTGCTCCTAGGTCAGGGGTGGGCAAAAGGCTGCCAGCAGGCTGGATCTGGCCTGCCAAGCCACTGGATCCAGCCCACGGTTGTCTCACCAGAACCCTTACACAGAGAGCAGCTCATGCATTAAACAGCAGGCTGCTCTCTGCTCTGGATTGCTCAGAAGGGAGATGGGAGACTTTGCATACTGTTCCTGGCCCCCAGCAAAATCTCTCAGCTCCCATTGGCCAATTTACAGCCAATAGGAGCTGAGAAATTTTGCTGAAGTCAGGGGATACCACATGAATCCTCCTCCCTTCCTCTCCCTCTTATGCCCAGAAAAAGCTTCACATGGAGCAGCCAGCCAACTAAGCTTCCTGCAAAGCTGCTGGCTGGGCACCACCTAGGTAAACACATCCCAGCCAAAGCCTGCCTCTGGAAGCTCCCCCCACTACCTGCTCCAGGCCACAACCCAAACCCTCTTTACCCCCTTCTTCCAGGTCACAAATCCCTCCCAGGCCTTGAACCCCCTCCTCTACTCCTTACCCAGGCTAGAATTCTCTCCTGCACCCCAAGTCCCTGCCCCAGATCACAACCCCCTCCTTCACTCAAACTCCTTCTCAGACCCCACAGCCCCTCCTGTACCCCAGTTTCCTGCCCCAAACTCCTTTCTGCACCCAATCTTCATACCAGACCCCCACACCTCTTTCATAGAAGTTGGCCCTTGACCACTTGCCAAAATCTTGGAAGTGGCCCCCCATTAAAAATTATTGCCCACCCCTGTTCCAGGTGGAAGAATAGCCTTGAGGATTCCACTCCTGCCCCAAGTGATGGCTAGAAACTGAAAAAAGGAGAGCTTCAGGCAGAGGCAGCGTACAGTTGCCTAGATGCAGCTCCATTTAGAAGCAGCACGGACATTTTGCTGCTTGTAGGGAGCTGCCTGAGGTGAACACCATCCAGATCCAGCATTCTGATCCTGTGGTGTGTGCACACAGAGCCTGGAGCCCCCATCCTGTGCCCCAAACCCTCAGATCTGGCTCCCCCCCTGAAGCCCACACACCCAGCTGGAGCCCACTCCTTGCCATTATTCCAGTTAACTCTTAAGTTTACTAGAATATTTGACTAACAAGCACCCCTCATTCCCGCAACCTACCTGATAACAAAGCTTTTACTATGACATTGCTAATGTACCATTCTCAGAACCATCTTTTTCACTGGTACCTTCCCAGACCTTGATTCTACCCATCTTGCTCTAGTGTACGCCCTATGTATTTGTACAACCTTGTATGGACATGCATATTTCATGGACCTTACCTCTCTCTACTCCCTCCCTGCTCCTTCCACCATTTAAGAAATGACCACCCTTGGTAAAGATTTTTTTTCCTATACCTTTGGCTGCTAGAAACAGCCTCCAAATTCATCTATCTCAGACAAAAACATTTTCCCAATCCCCCAATTATTCATTATTTAATACTACAATTTTATTATTTGGAATAACTCTGTAAAGCTTGTGATATCTGTATGAAAGATGGTATACAAAATATACATGTATCATATTGTATAAATTACTTTGCTGATTAGATCTAAATTACATGATTTTCATATATCCTAAAAAGTATTTTATTTGTAAGCAAGTGTCATTAGATTATTTTACCATCTTGCAAAAGATTCTGATATCAATACCTGTAAAGAACTACATATATAAAACATTGTTCAATGAGATACAGCGAAGGAGGAAGCTTTTTCAATCCATATAAAGAAATTCCTTTTAATATACTAAGGCAGTGGTAGGGAACCTAAGGCTTGCCTAGATCAGGCCCCCTAGATCGGGCCACTCACCCCTGATTTTTCTGTGGGTCAGTGGCCCTTGTCCCAAAAGAGTTCCCCACACCTGTACTAAGGGCTTAGCTACACAAGGATAATAAGGAATTGTGTGAATTTAAAGTGACTTTGTTAAACTGCATTACGCCCTTAGTGGATATTTTCAAAGTGAATTAAGTTAAACCAAATTAAACCCACTTTAATTGGGACTATGAGGATCCTACAGAGATTTAATACACTTTAATTTATCCAATTTAACAATTCATCTGTATTAACTTTCCTAAGAGTTTCCATGTAGACAAGCCCTGAAAGTGACTCTGAATACAAGAATTTACATAGGTCTATTACTGTAAATTTATTTCACAACTGCTATACAATTAAGGACAAAATTTTCAAACATGCCTAAATTACCAAAACAAAATAGAACACAAGAGATTTGGGAGTGGGAAACAAAATGCAGTCCACCATTTTGTTTGTATTACCATCTGAAATGCACACTCTTGAAAATTGTTCAGTGAAGGCCAGAACCTTATTGTTCAAAAAAGCCCAGAGTCAAGGCAAAAATAGTTTACTGGAAAAAATGTATTGCTGGAATGTAAACCAGGAATAACTTCATTGATAAGTGGTTCCTATTTTGTTTCAGAATTCTACCCTTTTTTCTTAACTCCTTTTTGCTTCTCTGGATATTGACTTCTGGACCATTTTCATGAAGGGAAATGTTATGAACACGTTGACTTAAATGATTAAACTTAAATTATGCTCCCTCATGTAAGTCCATCCTAACACACATCTCCACCAATTAAATTGCAAACATTTTAAAAAATGAATGCTTATTATTGTCACACAATGAAATCCATATTTTAAAAACTTCTGTATTTTTAAATGCATCTCAAGTTCATTTTCTCAACCTTTACAATGAATAATAGCATAAGTTGTTTTACTTGTGTATAGAATTTGTTTAGAATTTTTTGGTCAAAACATTTATAACTTTGTGTAGCAGTGAAACAATATTAAAAGATGTAGTTCCTATTATGCTATCAATATACTGACTGCACACTGAAATATAAATGGCTGGCAATATTTTCTGTGAAATGTTAAAAAGATTAAACCTATCAACAACAGCCATTATCCACTCCTCATGTCTAGGAAAAAACATCACCTGCTGTATCCACAGTATACAAGAGCTAAATTGAAATCTAAAAAGAACCTGATAATATTATTTCCTTCTTTTTCTTACCCATAAAAGAATAACAAACTGACATTCTGAGGCCATAACTGACTTCTTGGAGTTTATGTGAAAGTAAAGATTATGTAACTACTCTTTCTGTTCGGTGGCACTGTTAAAGAAAATAAAGGGAAAGTGCAATTGGTTTGCTGAAAACTAATAATGGTTTTATTATGGATATTAAAAAACAAGACAGTGCAAAACTAAGCAATAACAATTAGAAAACACATTTGTACAGGAGTCAGAGAGGGAAATTAATTTCTATTTTCTTTTCATCTGCCACCTATTCATTTTATCTGGCACAAAACTTTAATCATGGCCTGTCATTTTTCTATCAATATTCAATGTCACTATGTTATAGTTAAATTATGTCTGCTAAAAAACACAAAATGATAGACTTCTGCAGTTTGCTGTTTTCATTGCTGATTCAATGCAAGGTGAATGTTGTGATTGAACTGACATGGCAGATGCAGGAAATTAATTTACAAAGAAATAAGTAGCAAGCATTTACTACTCAATTTAGTGCTTCTACTTACCGTAAAATGTTTTTACCATATTAACTATAAGGTATGGAATTTATTGTCTCTATTGAAGACCATTTTTCTCTTTTTGAAGAAATGGAGAAATCTAGTTTCTCCATTAAAACATCTACTGTAAATAGATAAAATAGGATAAAAACTTAGCTTTAGTAATTGGGCGGAAAGCTACCAGCACTCTATGCAATTTCTCAACACTATTTTGTCATTCATCTCATCTCTAATCTGTTAAAAATACCTTCAATTTGCTACAGGCACACGTTAAGTCCATCTGCATGTTGCCAGCCAGGAGGAGCTGTTGGCACGGGGCATTTCCTGGGAGCAGAGCCCTGCACATCAGCGGATACTTATCTGCAATTAGATATTTGTATCCACACAGGGCTCTATCGTCCACTCTTGGAAGGGGCCAACAAGCCCCTGTGGCATGGGAGACAAGAGGCATATGGCTCTGCACACTGCCTCTCTCTGCTGGCACCACCTCTGTCCATTCCCATTGACTATAATTTCCTGTTCCCGTCAATAGCATCTGCCAGGGGTGGTGTTTACAGGCAGGAACAGTGATCTGAGACTGCTGCTCCCCCCACCAGGAACAGTGGGCCTCATTGGTCAGTCTTAGGAGTGGGCTAGTGGCATAGGGCCGGGCAGCAGGCAGGGAGCCTGCCGAGTACCAGTTGCAATTGACTGGTTCCCCAGGTTCAACAAGTTGAATGTGATTGGCCAATTGGTGACCACTGCTATTCTGACCTGTTCTTTACAGCTACATCCCCCCTTGTACACAGGCTAATCACACAGTAGCATGTATTTATTGTCCAGTGATGCCTGGAATTGTCAGTATTTTATGTCAGGTGGTGTACAAACACATAGGGTGTGTCTAGACTACAGAGTTTTGTCGACAAAAGTGGACTTTTGTCGACAAAACTATACCTGCGTCTACACTACCGCTGAGTTCTGTCGACATAACGTCGACAGAACTCAGCAGTTTTGTCGACGCTGGTAAACCTCATTTTATGAGGCATAACGCCTTTTGTCGAGAGAGTTCTGTCGACAGAAGGTGTTATTGCATCTAGGGTTGTGTCTAGACTACAGAGTTTTGTCGACAAAGCAAGTTGCTTTGTCGACAGAACTGAATGTAGTCTAGACGCTCTTTGTCGACAGAAGCTTTGTCGACAGTATCTGTCGACAAAAGCCTGTAGTCTAGACGTACCCATAGTTATAGGAGTGGGATGGATATAGCTTTACTGGCATTGATGGAGGATCTCCTGCAGTCAACAGATTGTGGGCAAACATGCATATTCTTCCCTCCTAGTCCTCTCTTCAGCATCACTGTCTACTGAGAAACTTCTGTTCTGCCTGAGAAAGATGGCAGGGGCTCAGAGGAATGCACTAAAATAGCTTAAGTCTTTCCTGGCGTTATGCACCCAAAGAGTCATCATAGGAAACTGCAACTACAACACTGCTCACTTGTAAAGTTCCTTAAGGATCAATTCTCTCTCTTCTTTTATAATACCAACATGAAGACACTAGATGAACTGGCAAAACAGCATAGATTCAAGAGCCAGCAATATGGCTTCAGCTGTGACAACACAGCTTCATCAACCCTCCACTGTACATGGCCATTCCATTTCAACCAAAGTGGGTCCAGTGCTTGGACAAAACTGATTCTTAAATGAAAAACGAGCTGGCTAATGCTGAACCTGACCAAGACAGTGGTGATGATGATGAGCAGAGGAAAACACTGTGAAGAGTTTGTAGGCACAGTGGAGTCTCCTTTGATTGAAGTCCCCAGGGCCTCATGAAATGCATCCTAGAATATTCAGGAAGCTGATAGAGGAGGTATCTGAGCCTTTAGGTATCATCTTTGGAAAATCATGGAAGTCGGGAGAGATTCCAGAAGACTCAAAATGGGCAAATATAGAGCTCATCTATAAAAAGACAAATAAGGACAATGCAGGAAACTGCAGACTAGTGAGATTAATTTCTGTTCCAGGAAAAATAATGGAGCAAATAATTAAGGAATCCATTTCCAAACATCTGGAAGATAAGGTGATAAGTAACAGCATGGATTTGTAAACAACTCATGACAACCCTGGTTGTCTTCTTTGATAGGATAACAAGCCTTGTGGACAAGGGGGAAGTGGTACATGTGGTATACCTAGACTTTAGTAAAGCATTTGATATAGTCTTGCATGACTTTTTCAACAAACTAGGGAAATACAATGTAGATGGGGCTACAATAATGCGGGAATGTAACTGATTGGGTAATCATTTCCAGAGAGTAGTTATCAATGGCTCAGTCTTGCTGGAAGGGCATAGCAAGTGGGGTTCCACAGGGAACAGTTCCGTTCAGTATCTTCATTCATGATTTAGGCAATGGCTAGAGAGTATGCTTATAAAGTTTGTGGATGATACTAAGCTGGGAGGCGTTGCAAGTGCTTTGGAAGATAGGGTCATAATACAAAATGATCTGGAGAAATGGTCTGAGTTAAATAGGATGAAGTTCAATAAGAACAAATGCAAAGTATTCCTCTTTCGAACAAATAAGAACAAATGCAAAATACTCCACTTTCGAACAAGCAGTTTCACACATACAAAATGGGAAGTGACTGTTAGGAGCAGTACTGCAGAAAGGGATCTAGAGGGGATAGCAGACTCAAGTTAAATATGAGTCAACAGTGTACACTACTGCAAAAAAAAGCAAAATCATTCAGGGACACACTAACAGGAGTTTTGTAAGCAAGACATGAGAAGTAATTCTTCCGCTCTACTATGCACTAATTAGGCCTCAAATAGAGTATTGTATCCAATTCTGGGTACCACACTTCAGGAAAGATGTGGAGAAATTGGAGAAGGTCCACAGAAGAACAAGAAAAATGACTGAGGATCTAGAAAACATAACCTGGGAAGGAAAACTGAAAGAACTGAGTTTGTTTAGTTTGAAAAAGAAAAGACTGAGAGGGGACATAACAGCTTCCAGTACCTAAAAGGGTGTTACAAGGAGGAGGGAGAAAAATTATTCTCTTCAACCTGTGATGATAGGATAAGAAGAAATGGACTCAAAACTGTAGCAAAGATGATTTAGGTTGGACATTAGGAAAAACTTCCTAACTGTCAGGGGTTAAGCATTGGAATAAATTGCCTAGGGAGGTTGTGGAATCTCCATCATTGGAGATAAACCTCCCTTGCCAGTAATTTTTTTAGCAGGCTGGCCAGCAGCCCCGCTCAGTCCTGACTCACATTGGGTCTGGAACCTATCCCTGCTGTGGCTCTGCATTTAAAGTATATTAGGAGCAAGGGGGGCAGGCAGCCAGATTGAGTTCCAGCTCGCTGATACAGAGGCAGTAGTGTGGAGTGGTAGGGGGGCTCCTTGAGAGTGGAGCCAGAGTGCACTGGCTGCCAGCCCCACACCCGGCAACTATAGAATAGACGAGTAACTGATAAGAATTCATGAGGTTAATCAACTATTCAACTAATCAATATTTAACATCCCTACATTTAACTGAAATACACATACCAGATTTTTATTTAAAAAATACACATACCAGATTTTTATTCATTATTTTAAAAATTAGGGGTTTTTTTGTACCTATGCCCTAAGAATAGGTAAGTAATGAAGGTGGGACTGGAGTTTCTGTCAAGTAAGCCTGTTCTTATATGCATCTATAAGATAACAAAAGGAAAACATGTAAAGAGGCAAGCAAAGAAAAACAAATCCAACAACGAAAATGGAGATGAAAGGATAAAGTGGATACATAAGGCAAGTAGAAACATGAGGAGGAGAGAGAGAAAAATAACCAAATAGAAAAAGACCAGAAGGAGAAATAGGATGACCTATCTCCAAAAGAACTAAACTGAGGCTGAAATCAAATAGCTTGATTAAAGATAGGAAATGGGAAGTGAAGGGAGAAGTTTACAAACAGAAAAAAGTAGACGTGCTCATTTTTACAATGAATAGTTTTCAAAGTTGGTTAAAAAAGCAGATGATACCTCCTCAATAGGACAAGGAAATATAACAAAAAATGTTCAAGAATATTCTTGTGACTAAAACCTACCAATTCACATTGTCACTATTCACAGCTCCTTTTTTCTTAAATTTTTAGATGGGCAAGCTTTTATTCATAAAGTATACGAAATCAAAAGTGTCAAGAACATTAGCAAGGAATAAACATTCCAAAGAATGCTCACACAGAAAGCACTTTATCGGCCATTTGGAATCATTCATACAATAGGTTAGTTGAACAGTTATAAAGTTTGTAAAAAAAATTATAAATAGGGAAAGGGAAAACAACTCTGGAAATACATTCTAGATTGTGAAGATTTTTTCCTCAGAAAGAAATCTGTATGAAAATAAGATTTTTTATTTCATATGCTCTTACAGCTGATTACTTACTTGAAATGATAGATAGTGAAATGATAGGTAGATACTTAACTTAACTCATGATATCATAACCTTTTCCACAGCAAACAATTGCAAAGTCTCAAAGAGAGGATTATGTTTCAGGTTAGGAAAGAACATCATGAGAAGATAAGTTAAGGAAAAAAAAACTATTTTCATGACACCCTCTCACTCAAGATGAAG